TCCGCTGATGAATTTGACGTAATTGTAGTGGGAGCAGGCGTCATGGGCAGCTCCACCGCATACCAGCTAGCCAAAAGAGGCCACAAAACTCTTCTTCTGGAGCAGTTCGACTTTCTGCACCACCGGGGTTCTTCGCATGGCGAGTCCCGCACCATCCGAGCAACGTACCCTGAGGACTACTACCATGACATGGTCAATGAGTCCTATCAGATGTGGGAGCAGGCCCAGTCCGAGATTGGCTTCAGGGTCTACTTCAAGGCCCGACACTTCGACGTGGGCCCAGCCGATGCCAAGAGCCTTCTCGCTGTCATCTCCACGTGCCGAAGGAAGGCCATTCCACACCAGGTCCTCGACCGCCGGCAAGTCACCGAAAAGTTTTCCGGCAGGATTGATATCCCGGAGGGCTGGATTGGAGTGTCCTGCGACCATGGTGGTGTCATCAAGCCCACCAAGGCGGTGTCAATGTTCCAAATGCTGGCGCTTAAGCATGGTGCATTCCTCTGGGACAACACGGAGGTGAACGGTGTAACCAGAGATGGGGTGAAAGGCGGGGTGATAGTGAGTACAAGCAACGGTGACAAGTTTTGGGGTAAAAAATGTGTGGTGACAGCGGGCTCTTGGATGAGAAAGTTAGTCAAAAAGGTCAGTGGGGTTGAGCTGCCCATTCAACCTCTGGAAACAAATGTGTGTTATTGGAGGATCAAGGAGGGGCACGAGGCTAAGTACGCAATTGGAAGTGATTTTCCGACATTCGCTAGCTATGGGAAGCCATACATATATGGCACACCATCGTTGGAGTACCCAGGGCTGATCAAAGTAGCAGTGCATGGAGGGTATCCTTGCGACCCTGATAAGAGGACATGGGGACCTGGAGTCATTCCCAGCTCCTTGAAGCAATGGATCGAGGAGACTTTCAGAGGGTCGGTTGATTCAAGTGGACCTGCTGCAACTCAATTGTGCGTGTACTCGATGACCCCGGATGAAGATTTCGTGCTTGATTTTCTGGGAGGGGAGTTTGGGAAGGATGTGGTGATGGGTGGTGGTTTTTCTGGCCATGGATTCAAGATGGCGCCGGTGATCGGAAGGATACTGGCTGATCTCGTGCTCACTGGAGAGGCAGAAGGAATTGAGCTAAAGCATTTTAGGATAGCCAGATTTAAGGAGAATCCGGGAGGAAACGTTAAAGACTTTGAAGATCAAGTTGGGCAATTGACAAGTGCACTGTGACTGAACCATAAACCAATTTCTGTTCATCGTGCCCATTCATACGGCCCAGAACCAGGACTCTTAACCCCACCCTCCTTCCCCCCGAATCTTTCTTCTTTGGTCCAATCACCAAAGAGAAATGAATTAACATTTCTAGTTTGCTATCTGTAGCCACTCTATGTTGCATGCAGTTTTTGTGATATCTACGTCTCAACCTCATGTATTTTATGCATAAACTAGTCATCAGTTTAGCCCAAACACCAGCATTCTTCTATTTTTCTTCTTTTTCATACATTTCATCAAAAGCAAACATATTGGATCTGTAGCATAGAGAGTGTTTGCACGTTGACAAGCTGTATGACACAAGTTCAAGTTAAGACCATCTTAGATTTGACTACAACCATTTAAGCACTAAGATTCCAATTCCTGAAAGGAGAACTTCAGAACTAAGCCAACAAAAGAGAAAGGTGGGGGAACAGAGGGCGATAAGTAGCCACCAGAGGAAAATAAGGTTAGATATGCACAAACTGTAATGCAAATCTGCTGAATATGTACAAGATTGAACACCATTCAAAATGCAACATTCTTGTTTGTGTATAACTAACAAAATCTGTTGCTTGTAGACAAATCTTAACTACAGTAGCATCATACAACCTTTGGTTGGGTTCAAAGTGAACAATCCTTAATCTATGTCCTATGTAATTGTAACGATGATTTTTCCTTATTGGACATAACCAAGCAATCTGAGATGCATACAGATAAAAACAGCAAATCAAAGTTGCCTGGTTGAGCTAAATAATGAATCGATGGTCCATGTTCAGAAAGATAAAAAATGATTATTGAGCCAAGTATGCATTTGAAGGAAAAATCGTGGTTGGCACTCCTTGCTAAACTCTGACTCAAAAACAGATGGAAAACCTGCAGAACAGCAAGACCATAAACTCAAGTATGAGAAGCATGGATTTGGACGAAACAAGACACAAATTGGATTATGAAATGATGCAAGGATAAGAGGAAAAAGACAGGAGTTAGGAAACAAGACATAAAAGAAATCAATGAAATGCAATCTGAGGAAACGTACAATAGTGCTGATCTCAAACAGGATTAAAAGGCATATAACTCCGAAATGTAGACTAAAAAAACCAGGGAGGTTAAAAATCAACATGTTCACTACGCATGATGCCAGAACTCTATGAAACAACACATCTGACAAAGTGGCCACTAACCAGATTGGCTTGTCAAAATACAAAAGCTGCCAACAGCGTATGCAGTACAGCCCAATAGATTATAATGCCAAGCCGTAAGGCAGGTTGTCGCATAAGCGCCCGATCACAAGAAACCCTAGCAGAATTCATAAACATAACATAGTTACTTGAATAAAAAGGCTGCTTTTGTGTGTAAATAAATAAACAAATTCTCAGCCCAAATGAAGTTTGCACTACTTCAAATCAGCACAAACTGACAAAACAGAAATGAACCCTACCATAAGCCATCCACCATATCGGTTATTGGTCTTGTAAATCTTGGAACAATTCTTGATGAGGTAAGTGATTTGAAACCATGAACTGAGGAAACAATGAATTAAAACGTAAGGACTAAAGGATGTGCAATTTTAAATAAAACTTATCTTCACTTGAAGCATAAATGAGTAATAAACAAATAATTTTGAGAAAGCAGCAAAGAATACCTTTATCTTCATCTTCATCTTCTAACCTACTATTGCTACCATCATCCATATCTATAGCAATAGCAACTTGATCATTATTGACTTTACGCAAACTACGAACTTGGGATGCTGTGGACGTACCCGCTAATGCCCACTTGTTTATCTACACAAATATTCAGTAAAATAGAGTACTCAATAAAAATTTCATTGCTGTTGATATTGCAAAAGGTATAACTTATTCTTGTGAACAGATAAGATGAAAATACCTAACTGTCAAATTTAAAATCATCATCATTTATTAAAACAGTCCAATTTATAAGCAGAAACTAAATATCTCAAATGCTGATATATTTGCTCTATAGATTTAGCTTCTATAGCTCTATTCATGCATCTATGTATGTGTGATAAACCCAGCCAAGACTTCCCCCTTCCAGAATGAAATGAGGAAACTAGAAAATTTTCTGAAATAAAACTTAGGTTATTCTAGCTCACGTCACAGTTTTGCCTATCAGTAGATCTGTAAGAGGTCCTAACTGCCTATCTGCTATCAAAGGAACTTGCAAACACATGAAATAACTTACCACAGGTTCAACTTCCACAATTTCTGAGTTCAAACTAGCAGCCTGACCCACATCTCCCTCAGCTTCAAGCAAATCTAATTGGGATTCCTTCTCACGCAAAGTCTTCTTGAGAGTTTCTTCTCTGCGTGTCAACTCCTCCACTTTACTCCGTTCTGCTTGCAACAATTCATCCCTGCTTTGAGCAACCCCCCGTAGGTCCTCCAATTCTGATATAAGAGAACTAATCTTTTTCTGTATTATTTCCTTGTATTCAGGCACCTGACTGTTTTTAGTATCAAAATGCAAAACAGGTACCCCAACACGAGAAAAGATTGCCTCAATCCAAGTCAGAAACTCGTATATCTCATCTGAATCTCCTTTATTGCTCATTTGTGATGCAACAAGAACGTCATTGGTGCATCTAGTGACCTCTTGTCTTAAGAAGGAGATCTCAGCATCCCGATCTTGTAATTGTGATTGAAGCTGTTCAACCTCAGCCAGAAGACTTTCTGATAGATTATGAAGCTCATCAAACTTGCTCACAGTGATGGAAAGCTTTTTCACAACCTTTCCACGAGATGCTTCAAGGTTCTCCAAATCTGTGTTCTTTTGTTGCAAAACTTTTTCTAGTTCCTCGATCTTCTTTGTCAACTCTTCCATTTGGATCTCCTCCTCATCAAGTGCTTGTGTGAGGGCCTCAATTTCTGTCAGCAAATAGCATTAACAAATAAGGATTCCAACCTGATAAATATATACAAGTAAAATAAAAGTAGGATCCAAAAAATGACACATACCCTGATCTTTGGATGATAACACATCTGTCAGTGATTTGAGTCTTTCCTGCAGTTCTTTTACTCTCTGCTGTAATGACTTCTGCTCTTCCCTCATTACTTCCACCTCTTTCTCCAAATCATGCACCAGTGTCTTTGAAGATTGAAGATCTTGCGAGTAATTCGTAGCAGCTGCTTCAGCTACCTTGATTTGACCAACAAGCTCCATGCAAATTCGTTCTTTTTGGATATCCTTCTCCTGCAGCTCTTTCTGCAAGTTTGCTATGGTAATTTTCATTTCCCTTTGGCTTCCTTCAGCAATTTCAGCTTTCATGCTAGAAAAATCTTTCATAGTTGACAAAAGTTTATCTGCCACAGTCCTAATATGTTCCTTGGATGAAACACTATCTTGTCCACTAAAAGGAAGTCCTCCATCAGCTAATGTTACATGCTTCAAGTAAGTCCCCTGATCAGCAGTAGCCAAATTATTTCCTAACAGCTCAGCTTTTCTATTTTCAATTTCCAAGACTGAATTAGCACATGCTTCATAAAGCAAGGCAATGTTTCTTCTCAACACAACAATCTCCAGGTCTTTCTCTTTCCCAATTGATTCTATATGCATAATGTTTCGCCTCATAGCTTCAAATGACTCTTTCAGAGAATTTCTTTCTCTATGCAAGATCCCCAGTACATTCGATAGACTGTGACCTTGTTCATGTAATGAGTTTGAGTGCACAATGAACTTTTCTTTGAGTGCAGCAATTTCAGTCATCAAACCTTGCAAGTGATGCCGGATTAAACTGCAAACTTCGACTATAGCATCATCACCCATAAGGTCCTGCATATCGGTAACTGACCAAGTATCCATGGATTGAAAGTTCTGAAGAGGAAACCAAGAAACAATTAAAAAAGTAATCTATTTAAAGAAATACCTCAATGTGAAATGAGGTTTTTGTTCAATGCAGATGACTTGCATGCTAATCAAAAAGAAATAAATAAAATTACAAGTAGCAATACAGCAAGCTTATCAAAAAATAAAAACAATACAGCAAGCATAATTATCAACTGGCTGCAAGGAAAATACAAAAGAAAACATGACAGAGGCAAACCACTATATTTACTGAAAAAGGCACACCCCAAAATGGATGCACAAAGGAAAGGCAGGACATGAAAAAGTTACCTTGTTCTCTAAATTGCTGGATGTACTGTATGGCGAGCCAGCCTCATCTCGAGCATCATCCCCTTCCAAGCATGACTTGATATTAACCTCCAAATTTTGCAGAAATTCTAAGTCCTTCGAAGAAACATCAGATAGTAGATTATGAATATCATTGAAGCCCTTCCTGAGTTCATTTACACTAGATTGTAACATCATTAATTCAGAATATTGCTTCCTATTCTCTTCAGAGTGAACTGTGGATAACTTTTCAAGTCGCGACAGAACTTCAAGTTTTGCAGCCTCTGCCACATCCCTTTCCTTCATGACTTCTGTAAGTTCACTGGCAACCTTTGCCAGATCTTCCTGAAGACCATCATTTCTCTCTTGAACCTCATTCAACTCTGCAAGCAGTAGCTCTGCAGCTCTCTTGGACTTCCGTGACTCTTGTTCAGAAGAAGCAACAGCTGCATGCAAATCATGGCACACTTTCTCAATTCGCCCCAGCTTCTCCGCTGGATCAAAGGTATCAATTTCAACACCAACATCAATGTCAGCTATGAAGTTAAATACCCTGCGTAAAAGGTCTCCTTTCTCCTCCAAAACACGCTCAGTTTCTGTCAGATGATTCCTCAAGAACAAATTGTCCGCTTCTAAAGCTTGTAATCTTTCAGGGTAAGAAGAGAGGTCCCTGATCATCAATTCATAATCAGCCAGAGCATTTTCCCGGTGGCTAAGCTCGCATTTCAAGTTTTCCAGCTCAGTATTCATCTCTTCAATGGTTTTTTTCAGAGTGTCCCGTTGATGCACCAAAGATTTCCCTTTTCTAACAGCAACATTTAACTTTTCTCTGACAGAAGCTGACTTCTGCTCTTCTTGATTTAGTAGGTCTTGCAACTCCTCCCTTTTGCTTTCAAGTTCTTGAACTTCATGAAGCAAAGATTGATGCTTTCTGAAGTGTCCATCTCTTTCCTCCTTCACTTGCATCAAGTCATGCAGCACCTCCTCCAGCTCTTTTTTCAAAGAAGCTAGATCCTCCTGAGTAGTAGTCAGTGCTTCTCTGCTTCTGGCTTCATCACCTAGCTTGGTCCGGTCCATTTCAATATTCACAAGTTCAGTATTCATAGAACTGAGACTAGTATAATTCTCTATAAGCTTCTTCAGTAATCCTTCCAA